GAAACTGACTTGGGGGGAATTAAATGGGGAAAACAGACAAAAAGGAGAATCTACAGACAGCACGAATAGCGTCATGTTTTTCATGTAAACACCCAAAATTTTCCCGACTTATGGCGACAGATACACCCCGGAATCTTAGACCCAGGAGAGAAAGGAACTAGGAAGAACTTGAGAAGGGCAGAAGAACATTTCAACAAAAGTGTAAAAATGGATTCTGATGGAAGATATGTTGTTAGTCCCCCCATGGATACAAGGCCATCCCCCCTTTACCCGTGCAGAAATCTGCTAAAAGAAGGTAAAAAATTGTATTAATTCCTTGAAGAAGCCCGGAAACTTAGAAGCATACGAAGGATTTTTTCGTGAATGGTTTCAAAAAGGGAGTCAAGAAGAAGTGAAGAACTACTGAAACGATAAAAGTGACCATTACTTCCTCATAGGCAGTAATTAGAAAATTCCACTAAAAGAGTACGCCCTTTTGTTTTGACGGATCAGCTAAGAAAAGAATTCGCCTTCTATCAACGATTGTTTAGAAAAGGGGCCAAACCTCAACCATTCCAGCCATCTGAATAGATTTCGATTTAAGAAAATAGGCATTGTTTCAGACATTCGTGAGATTTTTTCAGATTGGTCTGAGGAATTGGATAGACCTTATCTAAAATTTTATGGTGGGAGGAAGGGGGTCCGCTAAACCAAAGTTTTCAGCATCGGGGGGTTGTTTTTGGGGTTTCTTGTTCTCCTTATCTATTGGGAGAAAATTGATTTCCTGGAACGTTCCTCACAATTTTTAAAAAAAAGCAACTCTGTTGTTAGAGTCATTTACGTAGATAACTGTGTTACCAGTGTGGACGACCATGAAGAACTTGAGAAATTTGTCGGGAATCCAAAACAATCCAGCACCGAATTTGAAACCCGAGGGTGGGAGCACAGTTCAGGATCCCGAATCTTGACCTTTTTCCACCAGAAAGGAAAAACATTTCAGTTCTGGGGCTTAGGTGGCATTTAAAGACTGACTCTTACGATAGTTTGAGATTGTGTTGAAGACGATACCCGTGACAAAAGGAAAAAATTTTTTCAACCGTCCATAAAATTTTTACCCCCCTTTTGGGTTTCACTTGTCCGTAGGGGTCCAAAAGGGCCTCCTTCAAGAATGTGGAAAATTAAAAGTGTCATGGGAACAGAACTCCCCCCTCCTTGTAAAAATTTGAAAGATGGCGAAAAAAACTGCTAAGCTAAATAAAATAGAAATTAGATGTCTTATTCCCAAGGAATGCACCGGGGGAAAATTTAAATTTCACTTTTCATGGAGTAAGATACATATGCTGTTTTTATTTTAAGATGCGAGGTGGTTCAACGACCTGTCAACTTTTTACAGGCAAGATGCGGTTGCCCAATAAGCTTGTCCATACCGAGACTGGGAACTTTCATGCAGTATCGGAGCTAATTATCCCAGAGGTTAGTAGTGATATGAAACTGGGAAAAATTTTCCTAAAAATTTTTGGTCAGACTCGGCGAGTTTATATTGGGTCAAAGGAACGGAAACCGGGCCCCTTGCTTATTTAAAAGAGTCAAAAAAAATTCGTTCGTTGACAAACACTGAAGACGGTACCACGTTCCGGGGCCATTGAATGCAGCCGACCTTCCTTCTCGTGTTGGTGTTGAAACTTAGGATGTCAAGATGGTGGGGAAAGGGAGGATTGGTTAAAAAAACCTCCAGAAGAATGGCCGAAGCCCCCCGTAATCCTGATTTTGATATTATAAATTCTGAAAAGGGAAAACTGTTTATCAGGTTAACTAGGGGGTCTGAGGAAAAAAAAATTATAACCGATTTTTCCCCGTAGACAGATTCTAAAAGTTACTGCATGGATGTATCGATTTTTTTTTAACTGTAAAATTGAAAAAAAGTAACCGAATTATTGGGTTTTTACCAAGAGATGAATAGGGCAGAAATCGCAGTTTTAAAATTGTACAGAAAGAATCCTTTTCAGGAACTGATGATAAACGTTTTAAAAGGGAATTCGTTTACGTTGATCCAAACGGTATTCTGAAAAAAGACTGAATTTAATGAGAAAAAATACAAGAGATTTTCTATATCCGACAAAAAATTACCTTCGAGGCATCCAGTTGTAGAAAAATTATTCGAACCAGACATGAAAAATTAAACCATGCGGAATTCAAATTGTGATGTGCAATTTAAAAAAAAATTTTGGATTCTTTAAAAATCGGAAAATTGTAAAAAAGTTTTTAACCTGTGTCGATTGAGATTTAATTTGAGACCTAAACCTATCGTCGAAACACCTCTTCCTGAAGATCTTAAAAAGGGCAGTTTTCGAAGTCGTAGGAATAATTGCAGGCCAGTTTTGAGGATAGTAAAAAACTTGATTGTTATATTTACATGCGCATTTACGACTATCCATTTAGAGTTAGCCCTCTTTATTCAGAAAAAATTTTTTTCAGACTTTGAAGATTTATTGCTCGGGGTGACCTTCTATAATATACTGTGACAATGGCTCAAAATTTTCCGGGCTGAAAAATTTTCTGAAGAAAATCGATTGGGAAAGTTATTTTTAATACAGTGGATCTCAAAAGATTATTTGGGAAAATTTAATTATCTGCAATTGGGGGGGATGGGGGGGAACGTTTTTATCGGAATTATGGAATTTTACGAAAAGGTCTTAGGAAAAGTTCCTTAATTTAGAAGAGATGAACACCATTATCTTGAAAAGAAAATATAATTAACCAGCGGCCTTTTACCTATGTTTCGATGACGTGAATGACTTACTCCACTTACCTTCCATGTTCTTGCATGACCCTTAAAAAGAAGGAATTCCAGATCTTATATTTTGATTCACATCGTTAAAAAAAAGGCATGCTTACAGACAACGGTGGCAAGACTTACGAAAAAAAATTTCGCACAGAATATTTGGGCCACTTACGCCGTCGTCGAAATTTGATAAAAAAAGAAACCTCCAAATTGGTATTTGTATTGTTTCTAGTGACAAAACCAAAGGATTAAATTTTGCTAAAGTTATGGAACTCTATCCGTCCAAAAAATGGAAGTATCAGACTGGTAAAAATAAAAATGAAAAAATGGAAATTTCTACGCCCTGTATTTTTATTAATACCCCTTGAAGTGACTCAAAAAATTGATCTCGGTAAACCTCCGTAGACCGAATTTTTCCCCACGAAAAGAACCGACTTTCCCAAATGACTGGTAAAAAGTGTTCTTCGGACTATTCCTGATGAGCCAGATGTCCAAAAGGGCGTTAAGACTTTTCAAGACTGTTCCTGGGAAAAGATCCCCATATGGACGATTAATAAAAAAATAGTTAGGTTTTAGTTTCCGGTTTGAAACTCAAAGGTGGAGATGTTGCGAAATGCGAAACCCATCGATTTCCGTTTTTTCCAAGCCCCACGGAATGAAATGAAGTGAAATGATTCATGTTTTTTTTTCTGTTAACTGTTAACTGTTTGCTGTTCGCGCGTTATGTGTTTTTCGTTTTTGTCGCGTAGTCATTATGTAACTAATATATATATTTTAAAAATTAAAAAATAGATGAGTGTATGTCAAGTTAGGGTTCTTCATTTGATTCAGGGTTTAAATGCCTCCCCCCAACGAAAAAAGAAGATAAAAGATCCCCGGGTTTTTTAAAAAAGGTAAAATTTTCTTTCCTCAAATGAATACCTATATTTAGGTATAATAATATTGCTTTGGGACACAATAGTCAGACAGGTGGCATTAGAAACAACAACACATATTAATTTGATTTTTCTTTTCGTTTTGAAACAATTTGTAATAATAATTTTTGGAGAGGCTTCACTTCTGTGGGTTGAAGATAAAAAAAAAAATTTCTAAAAAGGTTTTTATAAACCTGGGCATTCAAAAAAAAACCCATTAAAAAAAAATTTGAGTTTACCCATTCATTTGTACGAAAAGCACCTTAGACGATCTAAGGAACTAAATGTTTCACTCAGACACTACACCCGGGGTGAGCATTAAGTCAGTCGCGATCGACCGGGGACCACGAAGACATTTTGGGGTGACCGTCTTCGCGTAAAACCTAAGACTCGCATGCTAAAATAAATATATTTGTGAAACATCAACGCCAGTTAGACTGGAGTATCGGCTCTTCACAATGAATGTGTCTATGTGTAGACGACACATGTTCCATTACTGGAAGCACGTAATGACGCTTAACACATTTTTTGCGACTATAAAAGGGAAATGCGATCACCGCGATGCCAGCCGTAGAAAGGCGTTTTCCCCCACACACCGATTAAAGGGCAAAATATACTTTGAACAGCTCTTCCCGCAATAACATGGTATTAGCTACTAAAACATCACCCTATAGTTCACGCTTCCTCTGGATTGGATTCTTGTGCTGATATTACGTCCGTGATAGAAGACACCCGACAGAGAACGTGTTAAGGATATACATCGGTTACAGATTCATCGGTTCACGTATATTGGCTGCTCGCTGCATTGAAAGTGTCCACACTTCTCGATCTAGCTGTTGCTTCTAATTGTTCAAACACTCAACTTGAAGATTTTATGTTACTTGTGTTTTTGTAGGGAAAAAAAATTGTGGACTGTCATATTTTAAAAGAGGTGTATGATGTCGGAAATAAGTGTTAAAAAAGGAAAACATACCATTTTAATACAGAATGGAAAGAACAGTTTTTCTTTACAATGGTGAATGCAAACTTTGTGTGTTATGTAGGTTGTAACGTTCCCGCCAAGCTGTCGCTGGACATAGTTGGGCACTGGGACGCGAAGCGTCCCTCCGTCCCATACTTAATGTATCGTGCGCTGAATGTTGGGTTGCCTGGATGGTCGGGGTGAGTTCCTATTGGTGTCTGGACGTGGAAGTAGGCGGGAACGAACTTAGGGGTTTCGACAGGTTCTGAGGGATATAAATCATGGAACTGTGAGTCGGTTACAGTGATCTAGCACTCTATTCGTTGCACTGGTGTAAAAGAAATCACATTCTCAGAAATTAGGCCATCCCAGGTGGGATACGAACCCACGAATTTGGATAAGAAGTCCAAAGCGCTATCCATTGCCCCACAGGGACACTCCCGCCAAGCAGCTGTGAATCGGCTTCTCTATAGAAATGATCACCACACGTGCAATGACACCTGCAAACTTTAAATTATTGTGCGATCTTGTGTTGGATCACTCCGGTAACCTTTGACACCTCGAGGGACTCCTTTCCAACCATTAACCGGATGTAACTCGAAGCTAAAGACGACGGCTTCTGTTATCCTCGAAGCTAGAGAGGGCATAGAGAGAAAACGGGAGGTGGTCTGAAAACTTCGTTGAGAAAAACTTCTCCCTCACAAACAGAACTTGGACTAATAATCTAATAAATAAGTTTAATAGCTTCAATGCATAATCTGTAAATAAAAGCTTTGACGCGTAAACAAACTAAATATTTAAACTCACTACCTTTATTTATCTCAAACGTCACAATGTCATGCAAGTGTGGCACTAGGAAAAAAAAGAAACGCTGAAAGGCATTTCAAAATTATGCATAAAAGTTTTGATACAGATTTCCATTTAAAAAGCGAATTGCATTAACCAAAATTAAAGGAATTTAAATTGCAATTAATCGGATAACAATTGCGGTGTTGCAAATCCGGTGGACAAAACACGCGAACTATGGATTCATAGCCGAGTAACATGACCACTAGACAAAAGTGATCACTCCTCCTTATATTATATGCTTTTATTATATAATAGGATTGCTATTCATTTCTGGAGAAATTAGATTCTTCTCAGTTGGCATCATCCCATGAATTCTTTGAAATCAAACGTCCAAGAATATTACTACTACTTACAATAACTACGCACTCTGATTCCGATGTATGTTTTTATGAAAGAAGAACAAGTAATTACTCATGTGCTGCAGTAGATTTTTTCTACCACGCACTTCCGTTTACTGAACCAGTTTAACGGAACTTTGTCAACAATCGAAAAGTACTGGTTTGATTACATGCGATACTTTCGGTTATTTCAGGTGAGAAAAACTTACGGAATTCAATACAACAAAACGTCTTTTTTATGTAGAGTTAACAGTAAGAGATAGAAGCCTTCCTCTAAGATGTACAAAGGACTATACTTTCTCTTCGTGACGTTTTTATAGCAACACACCTACCTGAAATAATCATTTGTAATGTGTCAAGTAGTCAAAGATGCATTTTTTCTGATAGCAAATGTAGCTTTTTATGACTGTATAATTTTTCAATTCTTTAAGGTATCCGAGCTATGTTCGAACGGGAATTTAAAAGTTAATAAATGTATTTCGATATTTATGTACTAGTAATTACATGTATAAAATTTTTTGTATAGTTTTGACAAAAATTTAATTTAAATGAAATATTGGCAAAAAAATTAACTTAGAAAAATCTTTTTCAAAATGTTCTCCATTTGAGATCCTTATTAAAGTGATTTGCCTGATATAGCTAGACTTTCTACAGAGGCTCAATAGAATTTTTGAAAAATTTCACATTATATTCAAGTTACCACCAATTGAAATAATTATCGATTTCTCTTAAAATTGCTCCCTCTGTTGTCGTAAAATATGGATACACACTTCTAAGTATATATTTCCAAAATTTAAGTGAGCTCTGTAAATAGTTCTCGACTTATATGCAGGCAAAATTTATTATTAAGCATTATTCAGGCGGGAAAGTATGTTGAAGATTAGAGAGGTGGCTTTATTCTAAGTCCAAATATTTATTTAAATAATTTTTTTTCAAAATAATTAACAATTTAACATGCATTCTAATATAAGTGACACTTAATATCATGAAAATTATCCATTTATACACTTTTGCAAAATCACGGTTCCGAACGTAGTCGGATACCTTAAAAACGTTTCCGAGAGTTTATACATTGAAAATGAAGTTAATGAAATTTTATTCGGCATCTCTTAACCCTTTACTTATCGCATTATAATTTACAGCAATTTTTTTCATGCAATATTTTTTTTTTTAATCACTACATTGAAAATTAAAGTATATACATAAATAAAATGCTCAACTTGCGACATAGCCATCTGTCGATAGCTATGTCTTGGGGTTTCCGTGTAAGTTAGAGGTGTGGGATTATCCCGGAAGGATGAGATATTCTATAATTCTTAATATGACTTTTATTAAGAATTTAACTTAAATTACTTAAATATCGAACAAACTTATATTAAGTGAGAATAAACCAAAGTACGCCGTTTTAACTAACTCAGATCGCGCAATTAGATCACTTATCAATATAACTAATTAGATCCGCCTAATCTCGTTTCAATAATATACTAGCGTTCAGAATATATTCTCCCTACCTTGGTTGAATACTCAATGCTTCAATTACTTTCAGATAGACTGATGGGCTCGTGTGCAATAGTATGCACCTTGTATAGATTAGAGAGGTGGGCGTCTTGATTCTAAACCGTCGATCCACACTTTTTCATTTCCGAACTAAGCTTTCTCTAAATTGCCATTTTTGCTCACTAAACTTGCTATCCTTTTAAAGGTTATCTTATTTGCATCTATGCTTCGTTTTACTTCTTGGATTTGGGTTGGAAAAGTTTTGCCATTAATCGTGGCCGTCAAAGAACGTAGGGGTTATGTTAGAAGAAGAACGTGAGAGATGTCATAAACTTTGGGAAATTTAATCCGTTAGAGCTAATTAATTAAATTGGTACTTAAAAGTACCGTCAGTCCACAAAGGTCTAAAATATTCTTATATAACGAAAATACCGAATGACTTTTTTAACGCAGTTTTAACTCTTAAAAATGCTAAATAACCTGAGAACACTAATATTTTACACAGCACAAAATATTTATTTTTAAATATTATTAAATTTTTAGAATTTATTTGCTTTTTCTTACACATAAAACAGCTTTTACACATAAACTTAATTTGATGATATTTAAAGAAACAGTTTTTCTTTTCATTAATACACAAAAATTCATTACACGTTGTGCATTTTGATTGAGGTTTCGATTGGATGTTTTTTAAAGCACTGCATCCTGGGGTAGGAAAAATTATATTTTCTAAACATGAACTACTGCACCTTGAGTCTTTTTCAAATGACTTGATTCAGATGTCTTGATCGTCATCTTGATAATCTAACGAAAATTCCAGCAGATTATTTGCTGGAACTTCTTCACCTGAGAAGTTATCTGTTAGTACATCACCGATTTCAGATGATAGGTTCTGTAATAAATCCAAAGCCTCTTGAAGACTGAGCATTTTTTCTCCAGAATTTCTAAGAAAAAGAAATAATAATAATATTAGCACCTTGAAAATCTCCAATTGTTGTTAAATCTCAATTACACAGAAATAAATTAAAATGATGTTAATTTTTGAAATAAGAATAGATATTTCATTTGTATGCCAAAAAACCACTTCCAAGGTCAAATTTAAAATTTTTTCAAAATGTTAAAATAAAACAATAAAAAATCAAAATAAATCAGTTAAGCTAAAAAGAAATGCCAAAAAAAATGTCTATTGTACTACAGTGATGACTCCATAAAACAGCAAAAATAGCAATATAAGCAACACGGACGAAAAAACAAAGTTCTTGCTCTAACATCCAGTGTTTTGTTGGTACTTATAAGTACCACAAAGTTATTCAACTGTAAAATTCATTATATACACTGTTCAATTAAAATAAATAGTCAAATCGTTTTGTAAGGTCTTCATTAACATACAAAATAAATAAATAAATAAGACACTTACCTTTTGACATTAACTACTTTTTCTGAACAAAAATGACAATCTTCGCAATCCGCTGAAAACGCAATTTCTGCTATAAAACTATTCGCCTAAAATACTCATCATAGAACCAGTGATGCCGAAAATCTTGGAACGAATATTCCCGCTATGTATCGTCAGTGTAATCGTAAAAATGGTTATTCTTTGTAATTTTAAAGTGAGTGGAACATATATATTGTGGTTTTTATTCTTCTGCTACATGTGAAGTTAAACAGAAAATCTGAAATTTTTGGGTTTTAATGTTAATCAACCAGATTGTCTCATTTGCTTCCTCTTAAACGTATTTTTATTGATGTATTTCATTAACGTATTTTTTTTTATTGTATTTTTTTTTCATAATTTATCTTTTCATATTTATGTAAATTACTTATCATTTGTTATTTATCTGTTGTATCATTATACTTGAAGTAAAATGAAAATAATTTGTTCCAGATTTAAAAATTTTTTTACGTTTGTTAATGCGGAAAATTTGTTGTACAAAAATTACTTGGATCTCATACACAAATAATTTTAAATGTATATTTTTCTTTTAATACACATGTGCATAATTTTTTTTACTGGTTTTGATTTTAAAAAGGAGAGAAAATTTACGTTATTAACTGATATAAATTGGTTTTATATTTAGTTGTATTAACTAATATAAGTAATATAAATATTTGTCTTCCTTCAAATTTCCCACCACCATTCCTAATGTTTTAATAATGTATTCTTCATGTTGGGCAAAGAAATATTTTTCAGAGCCTAGATATTCCACACCTAAAAATTTATTGCAATAAGAGGGATGGTATGTAGTTATGTAGCAAAACACCATACATTTTAATCATTTTAATTAATTGATCTTAATTCTGGCTGTTTCTATAATTTTACGACTAGTGATAGTATCATCCATGTTATTTATTTATCAAATGCTAGGCCATTGACCATCATGTCATGTGTCATCCATGTTGATGTCAGATAAAGTGGTTCTAGTAACTACTTGAAATTTAGTATATTCATGGAGACGTAACTGCTTAATGACTCGCTTGGAAAGAAATAGGCACCTTTACAAATTACAAGCTACTGTGTTTAATTCATATTCCATAGGATTTCACAATCCTTATTTTTCTATATTATTTTTGTAAAATTTCGTTGTATTGAATCATTCGAAATTCTTTCCAAGTATTTTTTTTATATCTGCCATTATATCAAAATTTCACGTTTTCTAAACCTCAGTTTAATATCAAAAACATCTTCATCACTTTTCCCACGAAGAGAATTTCATTTAAACTTCTACACTGGTGTGCAAAACTTAAGCAACAG